CCTTATAAATAAACTCTTATACACACACTCCCTATTAGTTCTGTTTCTGTGAATTACCCTAACATAGAAGGTATGCTTATCAAAATTTTGTCTCACTGTAAGTCTGAAAGGGCAACTCAGAGCCAAGTAAACAGAATAAAATGAAGTGAATGAACTGAAAAAGACTGGATTATGTGATGACATATCCAACCAATAAATGTACAGACCTTTTCTTTTTTTTTTTTTTTTTGAGACAGAGCCTTGTTCTGTCACCCAGGCTGGAGTGCATTGGTGCAATCTCGGCTCATTGCAACCTCCACATCCTAGGTTCAAGCAATTCTCCTGCCTCAGCCTCCCGAGACTCCCTGGGACTACAGGTGTGTCCCACCACGCCCAGCTAATTTTTTATTGTAGTTTTAGTAGAGACAGGGTTTCACGAAATTGGTCAGGCTATTCTTGAACTCCTGATCTCGTGACCTGCCTGCCTCAGACTCCCAAAGGGCTGGGATTACAGGCATGAGCCACCCAGCCCAGAGGATTTCTTAAAAATGTCTGTTAGCTCACTCATAGGTGGGTGTTGAACAATGAGAACACATGGACACAGGGAGGGGAGCATCACACTGGGGTCTGCTGAGGGGGAGCTAGGGGAGGAACAGCAGCGAGTGGGGAGTTGGGGAGGGATAACATGGGGAGAAATGTCAGGTATAGGTGAAGGGGAGGAAGGCAGCAAACCACATTGCCATGTATGTACCTATGCAACAATCTTGTGTGTTCTTCACATGTACCCCAAAACCTAAAACACAGTAAATTTTTAAAAAATAGCCAATACTCCTTTAAAAGATCAAGAAATTAAATTATTAGATAATATTTTCTATCCCTACACATTTCCCCCAAACAATTCAATAAAATTCCCTAAATGTACTATAAATAGAATTGCCAGATAAAATAAAAGGACATTATTTAGGACATATTTACACTAAAAAATTATTGACTGTGTATCTGAAATGCAATTTATTTATTTATTTTTTTTTTGGGAGACAGAGTCTCGCTCTGTTCCCCAGGCTGGAGTACAGTTAAAAAAAAAGTCTGTTAGCAGGATCTCACAGTGGGAAATTAAGAACAAAGGCAAGCAGAAAACACGTTTGTCAACAGCTACAAAAACTACAGATCTGTAGCGATAAAGGAACTGGATTTACCCTCTTGCCTGAAATAACTAAAAAGCTGGGGGAAGGAGTAACAATGGTTTGGAAGACAGTGAACATCAGGCAGTAAGGGACAGTGATCACCAAGAGATGGGACACAAAGGAGGCAAGCTCGAACAAAGGCCAGGGTGCAAAGCAGAAAGGGGAGCACGGGCAGATGCTGGTGGTCGCCCTAAGTTGAGGAAAGAGTTTCTCTAAGAGTCTAGGGAGAACAAGCTAGACTTTTCAGGGCAGATAGGAGAGTGAGCTGCAAAGGGTGTTCCCAGACTCAACTGGGAGTGGGGCTGCTATTTCTCGTGACCCAAAAATAAGATGTAGATGAACTGAGGAGGAAGAGAGTTTTTATTTCTGCAACCAGTTACACGGAGAAGGCCTGGAAATTATCACAAGACCAACTCAAAATTAGAGTTTTCCAGAGCTTCTATACCTTCTAATCTTTATGTCTACATGTAAGTCTGCATTCATCTAAAGCAGGCGTCCCCAAACTTTTTACACAGGGGGCCAGTTCACTGTCCCTCAGACCGTTGGAGGGCCGCCACATACTGTGCTCCTCTCACTGACCAACGATGAAAGAGGTGCCCCTTCCTGAAATGCAATGGGCAGGCCGGATAAATGGCCTCAGGGGGCCGCAGTTTGGGGACGCCTGATCTAAAGACATAAGTGATTAACTTCTTTTAATCTACAACTAAGGTCTGAGTCCTGAAGACCTTTCTCTGGAGCATTAGTACATTTACTTAATCTAAATGGGTCCAGGTGCTGGGGTGATTACCCTTGTCTCCTGCTAATCCAGGGAGGTTTTCAGGATTCCGTCAGACCCCCAAGAAACTTGTTTAATCTTAAATAGGTCCTGTTAAGAATTCCTTCGTTATTTTGTCATGTTTTAAGGGCCAGGTAAAACTCTTGGTGGGCTTTTGTTACATGCTAGCCTTTGTGTAAGGGCCTTGGCTTTTTTAGCTTTTAACGATTCAGTCAGTACCGAAACAGTTGGTATTGAGACCTGGCCTGCCACAGGGTACACGCTGCAGTGGAGTACTAATGAATGCACACAAGTGGTGGGGCAAGTACTCATGCCAGGGAAAGAACCATCACAAGGATTAGAGGACAGTTTACAAAGGTGGAATAAATACCTGCTGCCACCCACCAGAATGGAAAACCTCTGAATTCACAGGGCATCAGGCACTACAGGTGTGTGCCATTGCACCCAATGTAACATCGTTTTCTTAAGGTATGTTAGAACTCACCTGTAAATCCACCTGGGGCTGATGTTTCTTTGTGGAAAGATTTTAAACTCCTTCTGGAACTTACTTAATCATCCAAAATACTCTTAAAGAATTTGGTCGAGGGAATTGAGCCTCTTGCCCTAACAATCAGTAGGACTTACTATTTACAATGATGACAGTGTGGCATAGGAACAAAGGAAATGACAGATGGAACAAACATCTCTGAGCCCAGAACACTCATACTTGATATATAAAGACCTGTGGGAGATTACTGAAGAAAAGATTACTATTCAATAAATGGAGGATAACTGATTATCCACTGTGGGGGTGGGGCGAGGCAGAATTAGATAGATACATCTTGCACACACACACACACACACACACACACTTCTCAGTAAACACCTAAATGTGAAAAGCAAAACTGTCAGCAGTGACAAACAGGCAAATTTCACAGTAGAGGGAAATGAATGGCAAATGAACATGAAAAATTATTAAGGTCAGGAAAGGAGATCAGGAAAACAGGTTAAAACTATGATTTTTTTTTTATGTATGCTACATTAACAATAAATAAATTGTGGTATACTAACAGATTATACAGCAACTAAACCATCCATGCATATAAGCACAAGAATGAATTTTAAACATAAACTCAAAAAAGCAAGTTGAATAAGACTTCACATTAATATATGTAGAAATCTTTAAAAATGAAACAGTATGTTTGGAGAATATGTGTGTCATTAAAAAAGAGCAAGGAACAATAAAAAATAATGATGTGGGAAAGAAGTTAGGAAGAACACATACATAAATGTAATTGCCAGCTTTCCATGTCTTTAGTTAGGTGATGAGTTTATAAGTGTTAATTCCGTTATTCATCATACCTTACATGTTTTATACAATTTTATCTATGTATCAATTATTACACAAATCTTTAGAAGACACCTATCTCCTAATGATTCAGTGGAATGGTGGGAAAAGTCAATTTTCTATAGTCTAAGGCAGGCTACTTTTTCTGCAAAGGGCCAGAGAGTGAATGTTAGACTTGTGGACCACATATAGTCTCTAATGCAACTACTCAACTCTCATGTTGAACAAGACAGCAGCCATAGCCAATATGTAACCAAATGGGTATGGCTGCCCTCCATAAAACTTTATTTATGAAAACAGGTGGCCATCTGGATTTAGCCCATGGAAGATATTTGCTGACCTCTGGTCAAAGGTAACTTTTTAAAGTTTACATCTCGTTATTTGCCATTCCATTTCTTTATAAGTTTTTAATTTTTTAATTTTTTTTTTTTGAGATGGAGTGCCCAGGCTGGAGTGCAATGGTGCCATCTCAGCTCACTGCAACCTCTGCCTCCCAGGTTCAAGAAGTTCTCCTGCCTCAGTCTCCCAAGTAGCTGGGATTATAGGCATGTGCCACCACGCCCAGCTAATTTTGTATTTTCAGTAGAGATGGAGTTTCTCCACGTTGGTCAGGCTAGTCTTGAACTCCTGACCTCAGGTGATCCGCCAGCCTTATCCTCCCAAAGTGCTGAGATTACAGACATAAGCCACAGTGCCCGGCCTAACTTTTATGGGTACATAGTAGGTGCATATATTTATAGGATACATGTTTTGATATACGTATACAATTTATAATCATCACATAAGGGTATATCTGTTGCTTCAAGCATTCATCATTTGTGTTACAAACGTTCCAATTACACTTTTAGTTATTTTTAAATGTATAAAAAGTTATTGTTGACTGTAGTCACCTTGTTGGGCTACCAAATATTAGAATTAATTCATTCTAACTAACTATATTTTTGTACCCATTAATCAATTCCACTTCTCTCCCATGCCTTCAATGCCTCCTGGCCTCTGGTAACCATCATTCTACTCTCTAACTCCATGAGTTCAACTGTAATTTTTAGGTCCCACAAATGAGAATATATGAAGTTCCATTTCTTAAATTTGAACAAAGCATAGATTATATGTAAGCTACTTACCAATTCACTTTTATTTCCATTTTAACAACTAGTACATTTTCCTTGGCCTTAGAAAAAGCCTCCATCAGTTCTATGTGCTCCCGAAATACAAGCCCATGTGATATTGAGGTCAAGCAATTCAGAGTTTTTTATTCACAAAGTGCATCCTTCAGACAGCTTCAAATAAAGTCTAATTAGCCACTGGAAGATCAGAAAGTATTAGAATGGACCACAGCTATGAAAACTAATATCAATCTCTTAAATTCAATAAACAAAAATAAAATACCATTAGGTATTTACTTACACAGTTTGTTAGCCTATGTAAGTAAACAGGTCTGTGAATAGTCTGCCTTCTGCCGAGGTGGAAACCACAATGCCTATCCACCATGCATTACCCATAAGGTTTTCATATTCTTTACCTTGATTATGAATAAAACCTTTCCTTTTTTGAAACTTGTCTTTTAATATAAATTCCAGTGACAGAATCCCAGAATAAAAATATTTACCATTAGCAAACTCAATTCTGTTTATGTATGTGTATGTGTGTGTGTGTGTGTGTGTGTGTGTGTGTATATATATAATATATATATATATTTATATTTTTTGGAAAAACAGAAGCAGATATGGTAAAATAATTTCATAAAGTACTTGTTTATCCAATTAGGCTGATAATAATCACGTTGAATTTTAATACAATACAATAATGCCACCAAACTTCCTAGGCTCATTAAGAGAATAATACTAGTCTCAATACAAAAGACTTAATAATCTATTTGTATTCATTTTAAATCAAAAAGAACATTTCCTAACAAACAGGTAAGTTACAAATGTAGTCCATTTTACTTTTCATCTGTCTTTCCCTGTTTTGAACGAGTCTTTTTGAGAATTCTTAGTTTAGGATTAGTTTTTGTTTAGCTTATGCACTGAAAATTTTGAGAAGCATCTAAAAAAATCCACAATTAGTGCAAAAAGAGGAGACAATACTTTAAGTCATTCCTTCTACAAAAAGAATTAAGGTTACTAAATGCCAATTTTAAGCAAATCTATAGTTTACCAATTTTGCTTTCTGAAAGATAGCAGATATAAAAATAGCTCAACATTAGGTTTAATAAGGTGTAAATAGCACACGTATTATTAGCTTTATTTTATCTGCAAAAATATTTTAGCTGCATTTGGAAAAAAATAAACTTGAGAATATAACTTCGTATTTCTAAGATTAGATGCAAGAATACTTATTCTTTTCCTTTTAAATAGAAGACATGCTGTAAAATTTATGAAAGGTAATTTGTAGGAATGAATACATTTAAAAAATACTGGTTAATCTGTGAGGAATTCCACATTTGTCTATTTAACGAAATTTCATCCATTTCATAAGGCTTTGGTATAGGTGATTCCCAGCACTCCATCACTTATCTTTCTTCTTTGTCTCCTTTACTTCCTTCGTCTGCTCATCCTTCTCTCCTCTCACACTGACACTTGTTGCTCCTTCTTGATTTTCCCTCTGAGAATTATCCACTATCTGATAGTCCTCAAGGAGAGTGTGTCCTGTTTGTGTTGCAGTTTTCTTCACCATTGCTTTGATACCAATGTTGTTAATATTGTAGGCAGTCACACCAACATTGACAGCAGAATCCACCGCATTGTGGGTAGCTTCTCCGGCATTATACCCGTATCTTTAAAAAAAAAAAAAAAGATTAGAGGATGTACAATGAAATGACAAATATAAAATAAGGTCTTCTGAATTAGTATTAAATAAGTCAAATGATTACTGTGTTATCTTGGAAAGCATACTCAAAGCTTAGGATTCAATTTAATTAATAACTTAAAACAGCAGAGAATGAAATCACACTGTGAGAAAACTGTATTTTCTCCTTTAGTAAAAACAGTGTGTGAAAATAAACTCAAACTAGCTGAGAATGATGTAATAAAGACTGTCAAATAAAGCATATATCATAATATAGGTCATTAATCAGTCATTATTTCTTTTTAATCCTCCCTTTCTGGAAATATGAGGAAAAATATTCACAGAAGCAACTAGAGTCATATAAGTAGTTTCGAGTTCTACCTTAACCAGACTTTTGGCTACATCTTTTAGATGACAGGAATTTGAGTTTGTCTTTAAACAGAGGTTCTATGGCACTCTCCCCCAATCCCACCCTACTGCACACTCACTGGCCTCCTTGCTGTTTCTCGAGCCTACCTAGCTTTCAGAGGCCTTAGGACTTTTGTACTGGCTGCTCTGTGCCTGGACTTCCCACAGTGCTCTGCTCCAGTTTCTTCAAGTTGGCTCAACTACAGTCTTCTCATTATCTAACCTGTTTGACTTCTCCCACATGCCCACCTCCATCTCTTGCCAATCAATTCCCCTTAAAACTGCTCTTTCTTCTCCCATAACTTACCACTTTCTACATACTATAGAACTTATTATCACTGTTCATGTTTTGCTTGTCTCACTAGAATATAAACCCTGTTGGAGAATCTTAGCTTTGTTCTTTAATGTATACTAAACATTCAGAATAGTGCCTGGTATTTAATGAATATTTACTGAACAAATGAAATCAGTAATTCCTGCCCTATCTTCCTCAGTCTTTTGAGCATCAAATGCATAGCAAGTGCTTGGGAAATTATAAAGCATATACAAAAGTAGTTATTATTGATAATAATGAATATCTGCATTTAATACTATTTCGATGATAAAATGCAACTTGAGGTCTTATACAAGCATACCAAAACATATCTGCCTACTCTTTTATTCTCTACCCCTTTTTTGGTAACAGGCTTTTAAAGCTTTTCTTGTCCATAGGTTTCCTCAAATAAAGGACTGTTTAAACAACAAACAACAAAAAGACAAAAGTTTATGTTTTCTCCAGGACACAGTGAAGTTTCCTAGATGCTTTATGACCTCTATCTGGACTTTGTATATAACACTAGATCTGTCTTTTGAATTAACAAGTCCTCTATTACTAAATAGCCTGGCCTAGAACTGTAGTTTGTGATCCCATCAGCTTGTCTGCGCTTGGCTTTTTTTTTTTTTTTTTTTTTTTTTTTTTGAGATGGAGTTTCGCTCTTGTTACCCAGGCTGGAGTGCAATGGCACGATCTCGGCTCACCGCAACCTCCGCCTCCTGGGCTCAGGCAATTCTCCTGCCTCAGCCTCCTGAGTAGCTGGGATTACAGGCACGTGCCACCATGCCCAGCTAATTCTTTTTGTATTTTTAGTAGAGACGGGGTTTCACTATGTTGACCAGGATGGTCTCGATCTTTTGACCTCATGATCCACCCGCCTCGGCCTCCCAAAGTGCTGGGATTACAGGCTTGAGCCACCGGGCCCGGCGCGCTTGGCTTTTTTAACCCCAGTGTGAAGTAATCTTAACAGTGCCCCTGAATGATGATTCTATTCTGTCCTTTGCCTAATGTTAATAATTATATTAAAGCTGGCGCATGGCAGAGCCTAGTCTGTCAAACGTTCCAAGTCTGTACTATTGTTAACTGGCAGCCTTCTCACCAGTCACCAGGAAAGCTCCCTTAAACTGCTTGCAGCCAGTCCCTGTTTTGTAACCCCTCAGCATTCCACAGGATTTGCTGATGGTGCAGAAGATGCACCACTGCTGATGGGGCCTTCTCATTATCAATGAAGGCTTAGTCACAAATACTACTGTCAGGTGGTAATGGCTGTATCTACACAAAAAGAAAGAGGTATCAGCAGTTTCAGCACTGAAAAACAGTGATCGTAACTCTTGGTTGAGCCGTTTTCCTGAGGGCTTACTTTTCCAGGACCATGTGAGCGAGCTACAATGAAGTGACACCACAACTGAAGAATTTCACCACAGTCATGTTTTCAGGTATAGAAAATCCTACATATTTACAAACTTCCATTTTTGAGACTCTGAAATGTTCCCTATTCCACTGATATAATTTGATAACCTCTAACTGCACTCATACTTCTATAGGTAACACAATTCTAAATGCTACACTGTTTTTAATAATGTACTAAAATGAATTCATTTTGGCACCCTGTTAATTTTGCCTGTTTTTCTAGGTGATCTCCAATTTCAGTAGCAATCCCTATTAATTTGGGGGGGAAAAAAAGAAAAACCAGAATATTCAGAAAACTAGATTCTAATACTAACTAGCCATATGACCTTGGTCAAGTTTCTATCTCTTTGCATCTCATCAAGTTTCTATCTCTTTGCATCTCATCAAATTTCTCTTCTTTATCTCAAAAAATAATGTATATGTGTGAAAGCACTTTGAAAAGTCTAAAATACTAAACATATATTCTTAAATATCCTATAAAATGGCTTTTCATCAGCTGTATTTTTTAATATATCCTCAAGTATCACTCCTGCTTTCCAATATGACTTTGAACTAGTTTTCCTAATAGGCATCTATTCTTCTCTTACTAAATAACTGTTTAGTCTTTTTCTTCAGATTCAAACTATACTGCTATAAACTCCCAGAAAGCATATATCTGGCGAGAAATTAAATTTATTTTTGATCTCTCATTTTTAAACAAATTAACTTTATTAGAGCTCATTAACTTGGATTTTATATACTAACAGTACCAATTGAAAAATAATAAAAAATGAATATAAAGTAGCCCTAACTAAGTCAATGAGATTCAAAACTACAATTGAACCGGATTTTTCTGAAATTTCTCCAATGTGTTCAGTTATACAGAACTGGTTTTGGCTAATATGACACCTGCCATTGAAGTTACTCCTTCATCCAGGGCAAATTTAAGGGGAATTTTAATTAAATTTCACTAACCAAACTAATAAACTTGTTACACTTAATTACAGCACAGTAACAAAAAACATAAAACAGTCAATTTTCTACTAAAAAAAGTGTATTATTAAGCTTACATTCCACAAATATATATTCAAAGATAAAATATTGCAAGAGGAAAATAAAAATAGATCTAACTTATCGAAGCTATATTATTCTTCTTTAAACACTTAAAGTGGAATAAAAGGAGCTTAAAGGTGAAACTTAGACGCTATGCAGAAAAGTGATGAATTACTGAATAGGTACTATACTGCAATTAAGTGTAACAGGTTTAAAATTACTTATTGTTTTTCATTATTCCTGTATGTCTTCACATCCCCAAATATCAAATGAAAGTATTAATGTAACTGACAAAAATAAATTGAATCTTAATAGTTTCTATGCATTTACCAAAAAATTTTAATAATAATAGTTATTTAATCCTCTGTACTGGCTTATCCACCTGAAATCAGATAAGGAAGTTTATAGAATACATTTGGTTTTCTCCCAGGCATAAAATTAAGGCACATTTAAAATAACTACGTTGGAGAGCAGCAACTGCTTACCATAGGCAATGAGAACACAAATTTTCCTTATTATACTACCATCAGTTGGATTAGAGTACTCCACAAATGGTCACTCTATCAAATTTTTGATAGTAAATTTAAATACAGAACAGTATAAATAAACCTAAGTGTATGTAAATAAATAAGAACAAAATTAAACAAAGGTACAACAAACTCTTCCATTTCTTCAGTTCTATCAATAATTTATTACTGGTTGAACACTTTTAGTTTCTTCTCTTAAAAGACATTTTCTACTTTGGGCCAGATTAGGTCCACAGGTAAGAAACAGTATTAATTAGATAAAACCTTTTATTCTCTACTACCTCTCCCATCTTCCTAAATTTCTAATAGCAGAAACTAAATTACTGCTAAGACTGAATTGCCCTCATAGTTAGAAATACAAACTACTTAACTAAATTATCACTTACCTGCTTTAAAAAAAAAATTCCATGAATCTTTGGAAGGATAAAAAGAATAGCAGTAATACAAAAGAAATAAATGAGCTGAGAATCACTATTAAAAATATGCTATTCATCACATTAAGTTCTCCTTATTCATGACCAGAAGTTCAAAATCTACATTAAAATTCAGTATTTCCTAGTTATGTGAATCTCAAACTTTTATTAATTGTAGTTAGGTATTTTTTTTTCCATTAGAGTAAGACATGAACAAACCCAACAAAGCACTTCCTATCTTCTAATATGGTAATCTTTTGGCCTAAAAGGCATTTCTGACTTTCTCCTGTTCTTGCTACTTTTCTAATTATGACTGACCCAAAGTAACCTCAGGGGCATAAAACAATGAATAAATATTAGTCAGAGTTCAGTGCCACAAGTGACAAGAAGTGAGTTGGAAGACTTGAGTTTTATATTTCTATCAGAAGAATTTTAGATCTATTGTATGTTTTATTTTTAAACTCTTCTGGTAAAACTGACACTCCAAGATGATATGCCATATTGCTTTGATTCAAAGGTATGTATGCCCCAGAATGTAAACTAGTTCAGCCACTGTTGGGCGATTTCTCAAAAAACTTAAGATGGAACTACCATTTGGTCCATTACTACCAAGCCCATTACTGGATATATACCCAAAAGCAAACAAATTGTTCTACCAAAAAGACACATGCACTTGCATGTTCAATGCAACACTATTCACAACAGCAAAGACATGGAATCACCCTAGGTGCCCATTAACGGTGGACTGCATAAAGAAAACATGGTACATATACACCATGGAATACTACACAGCCCTAAAAAAGAACAAAATCATGTCCTTTGCAGCAACATGGATGCAGCTGGAGGCCATTATTCTAAGTAAATTAATGCGGAAACAGAAAACTACATGTTCTCACTTATAAGTGGGAGCTAAATACTGGGTACTCATGGACATAAAGATGACAACAATAGACACTGTACTACTAGGCAGGGTGAGAGGGGAGACTGTGAGCTAAAAGACCATCTGTTGGGTACTATGCTTACTACCTGAGTGATGGGATCATTTGTACCCCAAACCTCACACAACATACCTATGCAACAAGCCTGAACATGTACCCTTTAATCTATAATAGCTGAAATTACATAAAAATTTAAAAATAAAGTAATCCCTATTTCTTATCTTCAAACAAATAATGTATACCTGCCCCAGACAGAGAAGATCAAACCAATTAAGGATGGAAATTAAATTAGCACTGTGGAGCATAGGTTCTGATGACAGAAACACTTGGTTTATATCCCAATTCTACTACTACTAGGAGAGTCGTTATTTTTCCTTTTGAGATGGAGTTTTGCTCTTGTTGCCCAGCCTGGAGTGCAATGGCACAATCGCGGCTCACCGCAACCTCCATCTCCTGGGCTCAAGTGATTCGCCTGCCTCATCCTCCCAAGTAGCTGGGATTACAGGCATGTGCCACGACGCCCAGCTAATTTTGTATTTTTAGTAGAGACAGGGTTTCTCCATGTTCCTCAGTCTGGTCTTGAACTCCCAACCTCAGGTGATCCGCCTACCTCAGCCTCCCAAAGTGCTGGGATTACAGGCATGAGCCACTGTGCCTGACTAGGAGGGTCATCTTTAACTAGGTATTTAACTCTACATTTTGGTTTCCTCATCTGTAAAATGGAGACAGTAACAGTGTTGAAAATAAATAATACATATGAAAAGCAATGAACACAATGACTGATACAAAAATAAGAACTCAACTAAATGCTTTCAGTAAGTGTATAATTAACATAAATAACCAAGAGTTGTGAATACTATTAATATTACTCTTATTTTTTCTTTCTAAATAAACAGTAAGATCCAAACTAATTCAAGGCTAAGAAAGCAACTCAGGTCCTTCATACTAGATTTAGTTTTTAGACCTTGATTCTTCTAGTATTGTGTAAAGAAAGTAGAATCAGGTAGAAAGGATAAGGACCTAAAAGCAGAAGACCCTGCTTTAATTCTCACCTTTAATACCACTTGTCATAAATTTGTTATACAGTTGCTGCTTCAGCATTCATTTTAGGCCTGACATAAGTTGCTTGAAACCTAGCTGCATCCCATCACCTTTGGCCTAGTTAAAACTTCCCCCTCCCCATGTGGTTGTCTGCAGTACAGTCCACTTGTTTCTCATCTCACTGACTCAAAACCCAGCATACCCCACAGCTGCTGACCACGAGAAAACCCAATGGTCCAACACTAGAGTCACATAAAACTAGAGTTATGTAAATAAGTTCCCCTGTTCACACTTGTTTTCTTTAAACTAGACAATCCAAGCCCCACTGGAAAGCCAAAGAAAGAACACCCATGGACCTTCATGAACATAGTCACACAAATCGCCTTTCCCTTGCTCGTGCTCCCTGTTCAACCCCCACCCAAACACTGGTTGAGCACTCTGCTGTCTCCAGACTTCCTGTGGGCCTTCGTGGGTACCCCTCTTCTTTCAAGGATCTGTAATAAAATGCTTCTGTTATTTAATGTGTGTGGTTGTGCTGCCTTCTCTGTGTCTCACCTGAGCAACACACCCAAATCCTGCTCTCTTCTTAGTCAGGGTCTCCTAGAGAGTGGCTATCTTAGTAGGAACAAACTGAACACAGGTCAGACAAGAGCCACAAGGGCACCTGCCATAAACAAGTTCCGTGAGAGAGGGACACCTGGTCATGGGTGTGCCAGGATAAAGAAGTATCCTGTGAAAGGCACAGTGCAAACACGATGAGCTTTTCCTCTTGAGCCACAACACAGCAGAACTACAATTTACAGCCACTCTCCAGAGACAGACCTTGAGGCCAAATGAGAAAGCACTCATAAACTAATCAGGTGAGCATGTACAAATCATTCATTTGTTTGTCCATTTCTCGATATATGAAATTGAAGATATACCATCTACCCATTCCAATACAAATGTACAGTGGTAATCAAATTCAAATAAGATGTGACATAATTTAACAGTCTGTATACAGAGAAGGCTAATATTAACAAGGGGTATAAGAGTTTAATTATAATTCAAGTTTTTGCAGGCAGATATCACCCATCAAAAACATGTAGCAAGTTAATAAGGTATATAGAAATTCCAAGCTTTTAAAAAAATTAAACTTATTCTTCACTGTAATGATGAACAAATGTTTGTAACAATTAGTAATATAAAGCAATGTGGTAAGAATTCTATTATTATACTAGAAATATTCTCCCTATTTAAGAAAAACAGTGAGTGAAAAAATTATTTTATCAGATACTTAATAGAAATATCTACACTGTCATAAATTTTTACAAATGCTGCAAGACATTTAGTCATGAAAACGATAAAATTCAACTTACTTGTATCTGACAGTTTGTACAGTTTCTGCTGAAACATTGTTAACAATGCATTTAGCTGCACATTCCAATCCTTGCCAGACAGTTGAAAATCCTGTAAAAATAATATTTAAAAGTAAGTAAATCTAGTCCAAAGCAAACAGATATTCCTAGTTAACATGCTGGGCCCCTTTGTTACCTTGAACACTACTTGCTGCTACAACCATAGCACCATCCAGAGGAGATTTCCCATCTTTGTCTTTTTTAAGAGATTCTGGAACAAGTTTGCTTCCATGCTTCTTGACGTGTGGAGCTAGTTCTTTTCCAACGCAATTTGCTACAGTGCAAACTCCATCTACTAACAGGACCATAAAAAAAGAAAACTTAGGAAAAATATATTATTCCCTTGATTTTTACCACTCATCTTGCAACATTCTTAAATGAGCATCTAAAATTGTTTTACCCTATAATGTTACAATTTCTACTTATGGATATGAAGCTTAGAGCGGAGGTCTCACTATGTTGCCCAGGTTTGGCCTTGACTTGGACTCCTCGGCTCAACTGATCCTCCTGCCTCTGCCTCCTGAGTAGCTGGGACTATAGGCATGCAGCATAGACTAGCTATTTTTTAAACAAAGTCTTTTGTTTGTTTTAAAGCTGTGTTTGCAGAGCCTACTGATGTTTATAACCTTGCCTCTCAGATATACATGTTCCTGTACATCTGCTTGAGAAAACCAGCTGCCTTTTCTTGGACTGTTACAATGCAAGACTGGTCAGTACTTTTAGTTTTTTCCAGCTTAATGTATTCACTTTTTCTTTTGTTTTTTGAGACAGAGTCTTGCTCTTTCACCCAGGCTGGAGTGCAGTGGCACAATCTTGGCTCCCTTCAACCTCCGCCTCCCAGGTTCAAGTGATTCTCTGCCTCAGACTTCTGAGTATCTGGGACTACAGGTGCGTGCCACTACACCCGACTAATTTTTTGTATTTTCAGTAGGGACAGGGTTTCACTATGTTAGGCAGGATGGTCTTGATCTTCTGACCTCATGATCCGCCCACCTCGGCCTCCCAAAGTGCTGGGATTACAGTCATGAGCTACCGCGCCCAGCCTAGTGTATTCATATTTTTCTAACAATAAATATCTCCATGAACTCAGTGAAATAACAGTAAAGTGTTTAATTCTATAAAAGTAAACAATCCAAAATCTGATTCAAAAAATACTAAATATCAAAAAAGATAATTTTACTAAATTTAATGGTAATCCATTAAGGTCCTATCTACCCATCTCAAAACACCAAATTTCAGTGCTGTGATTCTCTAAGAGCAAGGGGTTAGAAATATATTGCTTGGGAAGACTGGCACCGGAATCACTAAGTCAGCTTTTCTCAAACAACAGATCCCTCCCTCTTGACCCTCAACTGCTAGGCAATAAACTGTTCTCCTTGAAAGAATATGTCATATCCCTTAGAAGGATTCAAGGGTTCACATCCAGTTGTGCTGCATAATGACCTTTTGGTCATTTCAGACATTTCATGGTCTCATAAGATTATAATGGAGCTGATAAAGTCCCATTGCCTAGTAACATCACAGCCACCTTAACATCATAGTGTAATTACTTTGTTTTTAAAATAAATTTAGTGTGGCCCAAATGTACAGTGTTAGAAAGTCTACAATAGTGTATAGTAATGTCCTAGGCATTCACATTCACTCAGGACTCACTCACTGACTCACTCTGAGCAACTTCCAGTCCTGCAAGTGACAGTCCTGGTAGGTGCTCTAAGGTTTTAAGCCATTTTTTATCTTTTATACTGCACTCTTATTGTCCTACTGTACCTTTTCGATGTTTACGTGTGTTTAAATAGACAAATACTTACCTTTGTGTTACAATTTCTTATAGTATTCAGTACAGTCACATGCTGTATAGGTTTGTAGCTTAGGAGCAACAGGCTATATCATACAGCCTAGGTGTGGAGTAGGCTGTGATGTTTAGATTTGTGTGAGTATACACTACGATGTTCACACAATGATGAAATCACCTAATGACACATTTCTTAGAACTTATTCCCCTCATTAAACAATACATGACTGTACATTCAGAACTCTTTTTCAAAGGTACACACATTCTTCACTCCAACACATCAAAACAACCCTTTAACCAGTTTCTCAAACTTTTATATGCAAATAAGAATCACCTATGGATCTTGTGAAAATGCAGATTCTGAATCAGTAGATGTGTCTCTGCCTAAAATTCTGCATTTCTAAGGCTTCCAGATAGGCCCATGTGATGTTGCTGGTTTGCAGGTCCCACTATGAATAACAAAGAGAAACTGCTTTGTCCTAATTCTTTATTCTTGAAATTATAACATCTAAATGAACATGTAGATTAAACCTGGACTAAGACGTTATTTTAAATTTAACTTTAAAGAAGTAAAGTTATCTAGAATTACTTTACCCAGGAACTGACTGACTTTTGCTGCTCCTCCTGTAGCTTGTTTTGCTATGTAAAGTCCCTTGGTGACAGCTGGACTAACTTCCACAGGTTTTTCTTCTGGTTGAATCCGTTCTCGGAGTTTAGAAGCACCTTTCTGGATTGCTTTGCCAGTAAACTCAGCACCTTTGACTAAACCCCAACTCACCCAGGAAGCACCTTTTTAAGAGAAAATTTAAAAATTGCATAATATTAGGTCTAATTATACTTTAAACACTTTAATAACATCAACCAGAAAAAAATAAAAGGAGTTTGATAATCAGATGCTAAATGTGCCACATCATAAACTTTCAAGCTAACTTTATACCTACAGTTTATATACCTTTTCTAGCTAATATTTGAATACTTAGGCGACATGTCACTCAGTGACAGAGTTCTGCATTACTCTCTGCTGCCATGGCAACTTGTAGGTATCTCTGTATGTTACTTACCACAGTGTATTACTGTTAGGTATTAATTTTGAGTTTTGGTGCCATTAAAATAGGGTTTGGCTAAAGAACCCAGATACTCTTGTTCTTTTTGCCTTAGGCCAGGCACCACTTTTCCCCATGAAATCCTGAGGGAGAAAGACAGAAACACCACAAAATGGAAATCAAAGAACTGTATCTCAAACACCGAGGCAGAACTCTTACTTCCTTTAGGCTGAAAGCATTAGTCAGGGGATCCTGTTCCTTTCTCAATCCTAAACCCAACTCTTGGATCTCAGCACCATTTAGCTTGTTATATAAACCTAAATGACAAAAACATGGCAACACCCAAATGCATGAGCAGAGAAAATCTAAAAGAGAAGAGAGAGGCCCAGATAATTTAGCCATTTCTCATCAGAGTGGGCCCAAGCCCTTTGGTTTGCTTATGCTTCTCATAGCTTGAATGGCAGAAGTGCTCACCAGAGGAACAGAAGGACGGAAGGGCCTTCTCTAGTGAAGACAAAAGGTCCTGAGTCAGTGGGAATGTGGGGAAAGAAAGACTGGGAGAGGGATGAGAAAAGAAAAAATATACAAGAACAGTGTCCCCTAAGATGGGAAGAAGTATTACCCTACTTTGCAGAGACTTCCAATTGAAAATACTTCTTTTTTGGCTAACCCTTAGCAATAAGCTTTCAAAGTTGAACATACGAAATACTTAAGAATGTTCTCTCAAGGTCTGTGGCATGGTTTTATATGATTACTCCAGCCCATAAGTAAGCATCCAGCTATCATGTGAAAATCATACCAGTTTATTTTAAAATATTAACAATGAAAAGTGGCATGTAATAAGTAATTCGAAATTTTATATTTCTCTTCCTGTTTTTAGTCAACATCTCCACCTCCAGCTCCAAGCCTACCCACACTGTCTTACCTGACAATCGACTTCTGGGGAAGTGAAGGATTCAAACCCAAACAAACAGGCGCCCATAAACAATAAAAGGCTTGAAGAAGTCATTTAAAAAATTATCTTTTTAGATTAACTTATAAGTTGAAAAGTTTTAAGAAGTAAGAAACCAGCTGAACTTGAAAACTGAGAAATTGTAAAATAAATGACAATGAAACAAAGGAGACTATAATCCTATAATGACACTACGAGAAATAAAAAGGATGAAGTACAATGATGACTGAGAAAAATAAATGGAAATGATATAAACAAAAAGTCATAGCACTAATGAGAAATTCTAGACGCAAATAATCAACAACATAGCACCATGGAAGTATAGAGCATACATAAATAAGTTAAAACTGTAAACACAGCAACAGAAAATGAGGAAATATAACATTTCATTGGTAACTACTAAGATATTTTAAATGGCATGGACAATGCAGATATAGATTGATTCTGTTCACATTTGCATCCTATGCACTTTATCAATGCTGTAGTATGGCAGACCATGAATGTTTGTTGAATATATGAGACACTGGCAGATGTTAAAATTACCTAACTCAAACCTAACTACTACAGCTTGTAGGACACTGTCCACTTTTACTGAACAAAAGAAAGCTATCATTTATGGTTGTTATTAAAAATGGAAGTCCCTGGCTGGGCATCGTCGCTTACACCTGTAATCTCAGCACTTCGGGAGGCCAAGGTGGGCAGATCACCTGAGGTCAGGAGTTCGAGACCAGCCTGGACAACATGGCAAAATCCTGTCGCTACTAAAAATACAGAAATTAGCTGGGCATGGTATGGTGGCGCGTGCCTGTAGTCCCAGCTACTCAGGAAGCTGAGGCAGGACAATCACTTGAACCTAGGAGACCGAGGTTGCAGTGAGCTGAGATGGCGCCACTGCACTCCAGCCTCGGTAACAGAGCGAGACTCTGTCTCAAAAACAAAAACAAAACAACACAGAAGTTCCAAATCACAGCTTTCTCTCCTGGTAAAAAGCTAGCTGACCTCTAAGATTACATAGAGCCCAAATTTTCTGATAAGTTTTAATAATTTTATCATAAGAAATATGAGTTTAGAACACTGACCTATTTTCAGTTTTTGATATTCTTTACCTCTGGCTAAGAGCAGTGGAAAACTGGCAGAAAATTGGCTACCACAAGGCTACTGAATTCCCAATCACATGACATGTATCTTATGTTTGGCGTGGTGCTCTAAAAACCTAGAAATGATTTGTCTTAGCACTTAACCATCCCATACCCATCAAAGTTGAATATATGATTGCTTTTTGATGTTTTGTTCATTTTATTTAAATCATGCTAGAATAAAGATCTTTGTGGATCTGACAGCTGGAAGGCTGTACCAGCCAATGGAGTTCCACAAAGAATCTACTGAAGAATAGGAGGACTTCTTTGTCTATTCCAGGCGTCCCCAAACTTTTTACACAGGGGGCCAGTTCACTGTTCCTCAGACCGTTGGAGGGCCGCCATATACTGTGTTCCTCTCACTGACCACCAATGAAAGAGGTGCCCCTTCCTGAAGTACGGCAGGGGGCCGGACAAATGGCCTCAAGGGCCCGCATGCAGCCCGCAGGCTGTAGTTTGGGGACGCCTGGCTGTTCTTTAACAGACTGAATTAACCAAAATGAAAACGTTTTTGCCAGGGCCTAGAAGCACAAAATGGTAGAAAAAAAAAAAAAAAAAATACATAATCTTGGAGAAACTTTAGGGAGGCATCATAGTTGCCTCCCTTCTGCTCACTCTCAGCCCTCGGATATGCTGGAATAGGTAGGCAGAAAGTGATCATTCTGTCTTACTCCATGTCAACTGTATGCCTAGCATTGCAGCGTCCATGTGTAAATTAAATTGGGAAAGATTAGGAGGTTGAGAGGGGACAAACACTCTTGATGATCTTTTGCTATCTCACAACCTCTGAAGTGTTTCAGAATGGCTGAAGGTAGGTTGCTCCAAAGGTAGGCTCCATCAGTCTACTGTTGGCAACCCTCTAATTCCTCCAATTAGCTTACTAGGCCCTACTCCATTGATACTGTATGGCCCCTGACTTCTTAAAGCATTAAGTCTAGGTTTCTTAAGCCTATACAGCTGAACTTGAAGCATGGTTGTTTTACTTTTTTCACTTTTTATATTAGGGAAACCTCAGAGTAGCTTTTAGTGATCTTTACTTATTCTTTGACAGTGGACAGGCACCAACTATGGGCTCAGATGAATAAGCTCAATTTATATCCCTGGATATTCATTTTGTACTCAGATTGAATGGGTCAGGCAACAACAGTCTCTTGATTCAGATAATTTTCCCTAGAGTAAATTTTTATTATCTTCTGCCCGCCCCCCTTTGTTTTCCTTATACTGTAAGCATTTGATGAACTAGTTATTTATTCTACATATTAAAAAGCTCATAAAGAGACATAGACTGATAGACAGTCAAATGGTTTATAGTCACAAACTATGAGGGATATTACTAGAACACCATCCCTGAAGGTACAGGATAAAAACGAAAAGAGGTACTGGCATTAAGAAACTGAGAGGTCTTAAGTAATAAAGAAAGCCTTATAATGTTACCAGAACATAGTTTTTGCTTGTTTTAAAATTAGGCACTGCTGAGAGTTCTTTTGAAATCTCCAAAGAGATCTCTTACAAGGATTAACTGGCTCTACTGCTTAGTACCACTGTGTGGTAACCATGGTATCTAGGAGGCCTGAGATTTAGTGGCAGCTGGTAATTTCTAAAGATAACCACAGTGTCTCCTCTTCCGAATGTGCATCTTTCCATATGATCCATATGATCCCAGTGGGAAGTGGGGTCTATGTCACGTTTCTTGCATCTGGGCAAGCTTGTTGCTTGCTTTTAACCAAGTGATGCTGGAAATTTCCAAGAATACGTCAGCAACGGTAATGCAGCTTCTGTCTATTCGCTGGTTGATTCATATTTGAAGCCCCAAGTCACCATATAGAAGCCAGACTAGCCTAAAGCCACCATGCTGGGTGGAAGTCCAGCCACAATAGGCCATGTCTAGGCAGGCACATTTGGCAGTTCTAGGCTTTGACCTCTCCCAACCCAGACGCTAGAGGTGTCAGCAATGATTCCAGTCCTCAGCTGTCAAGTCACTAGCTAACTTTTGAGTCTTCCCAGATGAAGCCCTTAGATGCCATGAAAGAGATACAAGCCATTCCTGCTGTGACCTTTCCAAATACCTGGCTCACTGAATTCCACAGAAACAAATTGCGGTTTTGTGCCTTTGGGTTTGGGGCAGTTTGTTAGATAGCAATAGTAAATGGAACAAACTTATATGAGTATAAACTCAAAAAACTTGGGGAAAAGACCTTTTCTTGTCTCAAGCATAGTTCTTCGGCACTAGGAAAAATATTTTATTAGTTCCTGGTAGCTAATTATTTTAGCTTGTTGGTTTTTTATGTTGAAAATTTCCTCTGCTTTATAATACATCTTTTAAAATGGATTTTAGCGGACATGAAAACCTGAATTGACAGTCATTTAAATGAGTCAAGACCCATTTAATGGGGCTATGAAATTGACTTATGAATGGTGACTAGCAATGTCTTTTTAAAAACAAAACAAAGGATATAAATCAGAGTCACTACAGCTAAAAAGCTACATGAAATGTTAACCTATTAAAGTGGAAAGACATATGTAACTAATGATGATTCTGATTTCTGAATAATTGATCTGAAGCCCTTTATAACCATAATTAAACACCAGAGACTACTTCTCAAAGGGCTTGGCTATAACCCTCAGATGTTCTCATGTCTGCATTTCTGTGTAGTTAGGCAGTGCTGCTTCGCTTCCAAAGATGAATGAACATGTTCTTATTTTTTGGGTGGGTATCTGAGTCCATTTGTGCTGCTGTAACAAAACATCACGAACTGGTAGCTTATTAACAACAAAAGTTTATTTCTCACAACTCTGGAGGCTGGGAAGTATAAGACTAAGATGCTTGTAGATTTGGTATCTGGTGAGGGGCCCACTTCCTGGTTCACAGAACAGCACCTTCTTACTGACTCCTCACATAGTGAAAGGGACAAGGCAGCTCTTTGGGACCTCCTTTATAAGGGACTAATCCCATTGGTGAGGGCTCCTCCCTCATGACCTAATCACCTCCCAAAGGCCCCACCTCCTAAAACTTATTGCCTCAGGGGTTAGGATTTCAATATATAAATTTTGAAGGGACACATTGACCACAGCTGAGGGATAGGGATTGGGGGAGGGTAAGAGGGAGCTTCAAAGGGGAAAGGAAGGTAACCAATTTTAGATTCAGAACTATTAAGAGTTTGAAGAGTCCTGAAGCTTTTCACTATCCATTTTCCCAATAGAAAAACAGAATAATAGGCCAGGAAGAATTTATACCTGAACGACAATATCAGATATTTTAAAAGACTAGTTCCTTCTACATTTATTTCTAAATTGATTATTTAAAACCGAAATACAAAATATTATCTTTCTCAGTAATCCCTAATAAACAGTATCTTTATTTGGTTCCAAAGGCTTCATGTTAGACAGGGAAAAAGTTAACATTACTATAATACCTGACAAAATGTTGTGAGCAACTTTCTCACTCCATTCAGGTAATTCTTTTGGTTTTTCTTCTGCAACTGGCTCACATGGTACAATGTGACTCAGATTAATTTCTTCACTTGAAGTATCTTTAGCCTAAATTGTAAAAATGTTTCAAAATGTGAAGAGTTAGCACTTGGAGGGGGAAAAAATTGAAAGCATTATATAATAAATATGAAGCCAACAAATACTAGATATAATTAATGAACAGTATCTCCAGCCAACCTAGTTACCAGTATGATCTTATAAAGCATAATACCAGAATTGTCATGAAGTTGAAAACTGTTCTGGTCCATATAAATCTTGATTGGTAAGATTTAAATTCCAATGTAAGTCCAATATGGATTTATCAAATCATCTAAACGGACATTTTTCTTTTCTGGACTAGACTGATTTCCTTCAAACAGTTATCATCCCTAGAGATTAGTGTGTACATGGTACTCATTAAGATTAAAAGATTTTTGTTAAACGACTCAGTTAGAAAGATGAATTCATAAACTGGTTTTGGCAGAGATCAAACAAATGTCTAATTTGAAACAAGAAGGAGAATAATCTGCTATTCTATATAGGTGGAAATGGAGAACACAGAAATATCTGTACTTTGCTAACTGAACAGCTGTTAAGAGAGCTTGGGCCAACACCCAAACTCTCAAAGCTAAATGAACTCATTCTAAAAAATAAGAAGCAGGCTAACTTAGACCTCATGGTATTAATATTATAAAATAACTTGAAAGTCAAAGTGGCCAGTAATACAGAGAATGTCACATAAAATATAATAACAACATTAAACAAAAGAGTTCTACATGGGATAAAAGTCACCCATAAGTAAAATCTAAAGCTTTTAACTGCACATAATTTTTAATATCATGTTATTTTTTTTAAAACAAGAAACGATATATTAAAACATGAAGTTCTAAATGATATGGAAGAATTTCCAAATATATTGTTAAGTAAAAAACCAAAGAGCAAAACATTATGTTTTACATGCCACCATTTATGTTAAATATTATGTGTATGTGTGTACATATATTTAGCTGTGCATAAAATATACCTAGAAGGACAATAGAAGTTAATAATTATGTGTCTGAGGCCACGCATGCTGGCTCATGCGTGTAATCCCAGCACTTTGAGAGGCCAAGGTGGGGGAATCACCTGAGGTCAGGTGTTCAAGACCAGCCTGGCCAACATGGTGAAACCCCATCTTTACTAGAAATACAAAAATTAGCCAGGGGTGGTTGCAGGTACCTGTAATCCCAGCTCCTCGAGAGACTGAGACACAAGAATTGCTTAAACCTGGGAGGCGGAGGTTGCAGTGAGCTCAGATCACACCATTGCACTCCAACCTGGGTGACAGAACGAGACTCAGAAAAAAAAAATTATGTGTCTGGACAGGGGAGCTAGGTGGTTGGTGAAAAGGAATGGGGGCAGACTTATTTTTCACCATATATCCTTTTGTACCCTTGTGATTAACTTTAAAAAAAAAGTGTTTGAGTAAAATATATTTCTTGGAACATTTTGGACTCCCAATATCCTCATATAGCTGGTCTAAGATACTCAACATAAACCACAGTGATACTTTGCAAATAAATGTAGGATATTCACATGATATTCATCAATTCCTAAGATAATTACTGAGCATTTACCATATGGAATACAGCAATGAATTCCAGGCAATACTAAACTGTCTGTTATATGATACTCAAGACAATGTTGTTTTATTCATACACTTGCTTATATTACCACTTCTGCCTAGAATCCCTTTCAATTTGCTATTCATATAGCCAACTCTTCTTTAACCTTCAAGACTCATCTTAGCCATAATGTCCTGTAGGAGGGAGCTCCTCACTGCTTCCCATACTACTCATCCACCCACACTTATCTATTAGGCTAGGCTGTATCTTCTACGTAATGGCAACATTGGATAGAAATAATCTCTTTGCTAATCTGTCCTTCCCATTAGACAGTAAGTTCATTGAGTCAAGAAATTTAAACTTTTTCCACTATCTATGCTTAACATTCTAGCACTCAATATTTCCTGAACAATAATCCAAATATACCCGTTAGAGTATATCACATACTCAGAGCCTATGAAATGAAAGAAGAAACCGCTCAATGTATTATTAAAAATCAAATCTCTGTCCTGTTGCCCACAAAAAAACAAGAAACTGAATAAAAGTGTCAGAATGTAAGAAAAAGAGAGACAGTAGCATATTTAGCCCCAATCTCTTGGTGAATATAGGATGGCAGAGAAAAACAGAAAATAAGGAAGTTACATGAATCATTAATGCAAATATAAAAATATTTTGGCTAAGTGTGGTGGCTCATGTCTGTAGTGCTGGCTACTTGTGGAGGCTGAGGTGGGAGAATCATTTGAGCTCCAGAGGTCAAGGCTGCAGTGAGCCATATTTGCAGCACTGCACTCCAGCCTGGGTGACAAAGCAGGACCCTATCTCAAAAAAAATAAAATCTCTCAAATAGTTGGGAAAAAAAAATATATCTATCCTCCAAACACACAGTATCTTTTAAAATAGTTTAAGTAACACACACTATAAAAGGGAAATATTACAACTGATTCTAATTGTTTTTGGCAGTGATCACTATGTTGACTATGCACAAGTTGCTTTGCTTTTAGTATATGGAAATACGACCATATAAATATATGAAACTGGAAAAAGGTACCATTAGAAGACAACACACACGCCACTCTTTTACTTACCTTTTTGCCACGTTTTCCTTTATGACGTACATCCTTATTGCCCTGGTCCAACTGTTTCACATCAGTGCCAGAGGCTTCTTTCAGTTGGTCAGAGGAGGGTCTACTTCTTCCAGGGATTTGGAATTCATTTTCTTCTTCTGCCCTGTTCCAGTTGGCCTAGAGAATAAAGGTTTAAGCTTAGTTCAAATCAGAATTTTTCTTAGATGACTTTCTGCCAGCTATATTACACCATGCTCAAATGACATACTTGTTTGAATGTCAGTTTGGCAGTCTATAAATAACAACTACTTTTGCTTTTTTCTCTATACTCTTGTTTTGTCTCATCACCAAACCCCAAACCTCTGAGTTCTTTGGTTCATAGCATATGCCTAAGTAAGTTTCAAAACATAAAGTAGAAAAGACAACTTACAGCAGTTGTTGGAACAAGTTATCTTTAAATCAGATGCAGCTACATTTAAATTCAATTAATGAATAAATTTTAGGTAACATATACAAGACAAAATGAATTTACAGGCAATTAACAAAACTCATGCCCGCTTTATTCTGCATTGTTGGAAGGTTAATTTTTTTTTTTTTTTTTTTTGAGATAGAGTTTCATTTTTGTTGCCCAGGCTGGAGTACAATGGCACAATCTTGGCTCACTGCAACCTCCACCTCCCGGGTTCAAGCAATTCTCCTGCCTCAGCCTCCCGAGTAGCTGGGATTACAGGCATGCACCACCACGCCCAGCTAATTTTGTATTTTTAGCGAAGACGGGGTTTCTCCATGTTGGTCAGGCTGGTCTCAAACTCCTGATCTCAAGTGATCCGCCCACCTCAACCTCCCAAAGTGCTGGGGTTACAGGCATGAGCCACCGTGCCCGGCTGGAAGGTTGATATTTAAATTTTCTACACAATATACACTTTGCTGAATGAATGCTTAAGAGTAAAAACAAGTCAAAATTATAGCTAGTAACTAGCTTATGTTTACAGGTGAAGTTCTGGACAGTAAAGCAAGCTAAAGATAACATACAACCAAAAAATAAACTGAACAGAGAAAATAAATGTACAATCTAAAAGTCTGCTTAGTTTCTTTCCTAAAGCCCAGTAATATAGGTCCAGTTAATATAGGAGTGAAGGGAGAAACAGTTCCATATATTAGGTCTGTGAATACTTGAGAGCATCATTTCATTCAGTTAGTAAACAGTGAAGATGATCTCTCTTTTATTTGACCATATTCCTGCCTTTGTGAATTCCTCCCCACAAGTACAATGAGGCAACACACTTCTGTATACAGATCATGTATTTTTTCAAATAACTGCTGCTATGCTAACATACTGGTTTGTTGACCACTAGGTCATTCTCAGGTGAACAGGTGCTGATTCTTTATTTATATCCCCCACCCTTTGTGGTCTTCTGTTCTCATACTTTGCCCATCCCACCACTTAACATAGTACCTGATTAATGAATTCCAAATATCTGCTGACTGAAGGAGAGAATAAAAGATTATACCATCATAATGCCAACCTCATTCAACTCCAGATGACTGTCAATATTCATAATCAAAAATATTTTTCCCTCTTGCTACAAGAACATATAAAGCCTCTCCATAATACTCTATTCAAATTCCCTGTTAAACAGAGATACTCTTATTTCTACAGGTACATATGTGGACAGAGGAAACATGCCAAATAAGGAAAGTTTCAGGATGATCATATTTTAAATTGTATTTTCTTTTTATTTGGCCTTCATTTACCACAAGAACAAAGATAATCATCTCAACCAAAACCTGTTTCTTCCTCAGAATGCCAACCATACCCCTTAAAATGTCTAACATAACCCATCTACTAAAGCTAAAATTATCTTCTCATAACCATTTAGTCCCATTAGTCCACTTTTCCAGATGAGCAGAAAAACAGTGGTGAAAACAATAGCTAACATTCACAGAGCATTACTACTTGCTAACACTGATATACGTACTTAATGTATGAATTTTTGATTTTCACCACAGCCCAATAAGGTGGACATTGTTATAACCCCATTTTATAAGTAAATTAAAGTGTAGAGAAGATCAGTAACAGCTGAGCTAAATAGCTATTAAGTGGAAGAGTTTGAATTCATATACAGGCAATCTGACTCTAGGGCTCACAATCTTAACCACTATTCACAGCAAATTCCAAGCACATAGCTGTGAATACACAAACAAATGATAAACTTTCAGTCTCCTAACCTTGATCACAGTAAAGGTTATTACAGTTTCTCTAAAAGCAGAAGTGCTTAAGTTAAAGGAGATTTTTTCACCCTAAAGATGATCACACAAGTTACCTGGAGCCGAAGGTCAGACATTTGCCTTAACAGATCCTCAAAGAGCTCTCTATCATCTTCTGGTAACTCAGAGGACAGGACGACCCCCACAAAGCATCCTGCTGCTTGTAGCATTGTATCAGGAAACATGTAGGCTCCGGCAGTACATTTCAGAACTGGAGATCTATCAGGAACTAGAGGGTATAACCAGTCACAAACCTAAAAGGGATTCATTAGAAGAAAAAATATATACATACAAATGAATGAAACTAGATTTTCAGTTATGTTTTGATAAAATTGTTATATACTAGAAAATAAAACTTCAAAGTTTGAAACATATTTTAAAAGGCTTTATAGAACCATCAACATATGCAAATCCCCAAGAAAATTAATTATTTGCTAGTCCAATCTTCCTGCAGTAAGGACTGCGCTAAAAATGCCATGGCTCCACTAATTATAAAATCTTAAAGCTGATGGCCTTAAATAGCCCAGTGTTAATCAATAGTGACTCTAGCTTTAAATAAGTAATAATCAAAGAAAATTAAGGTTTCCTTCATTATTCGAATCAGATATTCCTTTTGTGGTAAACAAACTATTTTCAGGTATTATTTACTTGAAATATTTACTGAAATAATAGTATTTACTGATTTAATGCTCATAATCCTATGAAATTAGTTACTATCACTGTCATTTTATGTACAAAAAAATTGAGGCACAGAGAAGTCAATTAAGTTGCTTAGAATCAACAACTAAAAAGTGGAGCTTGGATTTTAACACATGCAGTCTGGACTAGAAAGTCCAAACAATTATTTTATTTAGAAACCCAGGCCGGGCGCGGTGGCTCAAGCCTGTAATCCCAGCACTTTGGGAGGCCGAGGCGGGTGGATCACGAGGTCGAGAGATCGAGACCATCCTGGTCAACATAGTGAAACCCCATCTCTACTAAAAATACAAAAAATTAGCTGGGCATGGTGGCACGTGCCTGTAATCCCAGCTACTCAGGAGGCTGAGGCAGGAGAATTGCCTGAACCCAGGAGGTGGAGGTTGTGGTGAGCTGAGATCGCGCCATTGCACTCCAGCCTGGGTAACAAGAGCGAAACTCCGTCTCAAAAAGAAAAAGAAACCCAGCACTCACAGGCTGGGCAAGGTGGCTCACACCTGTAATCCTAACACTCTGGGAGGCCAATGAGGGGAGGGGGTAGATCACTTGAGGTCAGGAGTTCAAGACCAGCCTGGCCAGCATGGTGAAACCCGTCTCTACTAAAAATACAAAAATTAGCTGGGCGTGGTGGCACATGCCTGTAATCCTAGCTCCAGCTCCTTGGGAGGCTGAGGCAGGAGAATCACCTGAACCTGGGAGATGGAGGCTGCAGTGAACCAAGATTGTGCCATTGCACTCCAGCTTGGGCAACAGAGCAAGACTGTGTCTCAAAAAAAGTATAAACTCAGCACTCATTCACAACGTGGAATAATTTTTTGTACTAAACCCAAGAGAACCTAACATAACAGAATAGCTTAAGTTAATGTTTATGGATTGTCTATTGTGAAATCAAAGCAAAATAACAAAAGCTCTCCTGCAGTGTCATCTGGGGAGGTCAGCTTGCCAGCACACACACAGATTTAAGCTCACATCCTGGCTGCCTTATTTCTAATGCAATACTTTCTTTGAGAAACCAAAACATAACTGTGCTCATCATTAAAATACTGTCTTATCCACAAATTTTTAACATTTCAGTAGTTATATATTTTAATATGTACTAGAAAAAATACACATTTCCCTTAATTTCAGTTATTATTAAGCTGAAACTGACAAGTGGGATAATTTAGTGTAAAAATATAAAGCAAGTAATAGTAGCAGCATGGAGTTGACAAAAAAAATTGTAAAAGTTTCTAAAATAAAACTTAGGAAAGGTTCTTTTTCTTCACTATTCCATGATTTCTCTCAGATTATCTATATCCTGGTCACCTTAATGGAACTGGAATATCCCCAAATTTTCTTTAAAAAAATAATACTTTATAGATCTTTCCTGGGACAGGATATTACAGGTAAGTGAGCTCATCTACCATAGCCTGATTTTTCCCAGTTTCATTTTCAGAGGGCAAGCTCATGTCCAATTTCTGTATAAACTAACTATAGAGTTAACAGGTTTAAAAAGTATTTGGTACTAAAACTAAAACCGAGAGAAAATGTTTTTTGGACGTTCTAGAATTCCGTCTACCTAAAACCAAAAAAAAATTACTTTAATTTCCTATTTAGACCAATAGTGATTTCAACAGTGATTTTTAGCATAGGAAATATCTAACTTCTAATATTCAGTCGGTTTATTAGTCTTATTTCTTTTTTAGGAAGAAAACATTCAGTATACATATATGTTAACTCCTTTTAAGGACACACTACTACAAATACCTGAATAGAAGCAAATGAGAGCCTGTTAAAGAGACTCAAATTAAATTTTGGGTGAAATTTCAGTTTTCATTTAGGAGAAAAAACATAAATATGAGAAAAGATTAAAAACAAAATTAAAAGCACTAAGGACAAATGTGTATTGAAGTATAAGTCATTTCAATGGATGAGTGAATGTGACCCCAGTACAGTATTTCCACCATTCATTACTCCCATCTCCAGTTGCTAAGGAACCAAAGATTTTTTAATTTCATCACGGCAATACAACACTATTACTAGAAATTATTAAAGCTTTTATCATTCACCACCACAAACACTAATTAATAAGTCTACTCTTTTTAACCTTAAGGTTCCTTCCCTAAAATAATCTACAGGATTCACAATATACTTCCTGACCAGTATCTTATTTCCTTTCAATAAAGCCCTCAAAGTATCTTCCTCACACATCACTAGTAAGCCTCTGTCTTTAAACAACTTTCAAGTTGACTCCACATAAAAACTACCCAAGAATCAACAGTAGAGTATGCCGAAAGAGAAAATGAATATAGATAGCCTGTGCTATTACTAAACCACATTATTTCGACTGTGGATAAAAGCACATACTTTGCTTAAGTAGTGATCTTTCTTCAATGCAAACTCCTTTGTTATACTCAACATATACTGAGTCCTCATTTCAAGAACTAATCTTCCTATACTTACGTCCAATCTTTTGAAACCAGGTTGTCACTGGACCACTATCTTCAGAATACCTCACTAAATCCACAGCATTGCCCTGACACCAACCTTTATGTAGCATCACTCTTTACTCTTGGACCAAGTGCATTCTGGTAAATTTATCTGCTTGGACTGTTGAAAGTATATCTTAAAGTAGCACCACAGTCTCTACTTCTAAACAAGGGTCTCTCAACCTTGGCACAGTTGGGATTTAGGGCAGGATAATTTTTTTTGTTCATGAGGGTTGTTCTGTGTAAACGTGTGGCAGCATCCCTGGCCTCTTTCAACTATGCCAGTAGCAATCAACCTCCAAATATGACAACCAAATATGCCTCCAGACATTGTCAAATGTTTTCTGGGGAGGCAAAATTACCCCTGGTAGAGAACCACTGTTCTGGGCCATGGGCTGGGTCTTGCCCGTTTCAGACCCTCAGCTAAGTCTTCACAATATTTGTGAATATTTACAGCTACATATCCATAGGAATTACATAAATCCCTTTTGAAATTAAACTTACTAGATTTCTTCTTCAGATAAAGAATTAAAAATTTAAGGATGACCACTCTTCTCAAGTTTTATCACCACAAACTTAATGCCAAAATAAAACTATTAATATATCTTTTTTAAAAAAGAAAATCAAACACAGATGTTCAAGGCTGATAAATTTCATGGAATATATTTAAAAACAAATAATTTATTGTTATCTTTTTGCACTTATACTGGACACAAAAACATTAACAAACAAAAATAATGTAGTCTACACATATTTCAAATTATGATTCCATTTTTGTTTGGCTTACCTGAAGAAACCCGGGAGGACGATTTAGAACCGTATCAAGAGAATTATCTAAAAACCTCACAATTCGAAGGTACCCAGGATACGAAGGTGCACTAACCTCCCCTGCAGGATTTACAAAAAAAATCTGCACTCCATTTGGTATCAAAATCAATTCATCTGCATCTAACCCTAAGGTCTCAAGAGGCGGCGGCTGAGAATGATTCCTATAAAACTCTTCCCCGACTGATGAAAACTCCCCGGAATCTGTTCCATAGGATACAGTGTAGTGACCTTCAGCAGCCTGAGGAGTATAAGCAGGAGGAGCTTCTGCTGGACAACTCTGTGATGGTGGAGAGAGAGAAGCAGGTGCAGCAACTGCCCCTGCACTTGAAGTTGAAGTGTTTCCATTTACTTCAGCATGCTGGGGAGTTGAACTAAAAGACTGAGGCTCTGGTAATTTTTCACCCATGTCTTTAGGTGGAAATTCTGGATATAGCTTGGGCACTTCCTGAAGATCATTCTGTAGAGAAGTGGCAAGACCCTTCTCTAGAATTTCCAGTCTGGTGCGTACATTCTGTAGTGTTTCTTTCATTTTCTGCTGCATCTGTCTAGCAGATTCCCACCCCGGGCCTGTGTGTTCAGGCTCTGTTGATGAAATGCTGATCCCTCTGAGCAGGTGTCCTATTCCTTGCTTATAGTAGTTCTTTGCTTCTTCCTTCTGACCTAATTCATCTGTATTCAGGCCTTTGTTAACAAATAAAAAGGCCTTCTTATATGCTTCTCGGATGATCTTAATTTCAGCAGGTTCTCCATTTTGTGGCTCTTGCTCCATTTCTGCAAAATTGGAAACATTATATATAATTATCTTGCTTAGCTATTGTTTACTTATTTAGTATCCATTATTTCCTACTTGAATATATTTTAAGAGGACAAGTGTCTTGCTTATCTCGGTTTTGTTCACTATTATACTATCCTCTAAGCCTACTATTAGGTCTGTCATAAAGAAAGCACTTATGTATTTGATGAATGGATAAATAAATGAAAACTCTTGGTCCAAAATACCTTAATTTAAAAACATAAGAGAATAAATCAGAATACTTCTATTAAATAATTTTCTTGTTCCAGTTTCTTATAATAGTTTCCTATCATACAGCCTTACGGTTGAAACAAAAGTCTCATTCTAAAATTCATTATAATATAAATCCAGATTATATCCAACCAATAAAAAATAAGTTGAACCACACACTAGGGAAAACAGGAATCAGGAAAAAAAAACATGTGAATGAAACTTTGTTACCTGATTTCCACTTAAAGGTGGCAGGTTACCCCACACAGCCTTGTTGCTTCCCCATAACCCACTAAGATGACTCTTGGAAGATTATGAAAAAGGAATAACCATTTTTCTTAAGGAGAAAAATGCATGAATAGGCACTTCACAGAAGAAAATCTTTGAAAAGCATCTGAAAAGGTGTTCAACATACTATTCCCACAAAAAGTAAAACTAAAATCCAGTGATACAACTAGACACTTATCAGATGGCTAAAATGTAAGCCTGACTAGTGCTAAGTGAAGACAAATGGAAGTCTTCCACTTTGCCGTGAAAGCTGAAAAATGATATACCATTTTGGAAAACTGGCAGTTTCTACTAAAGTTAAACATTCACCCACTCAACGACCCAGCATTTCCACTTGCAGGTATATAACAAAGAGGAATGGATGCATGTGCATGCCAAAAACATGTACAGCAATACTCACAGCAACTACATTCACAAAAGGCAAATTCTTAAAACAACTCAAATGCTCACTCATTCAGTGCAATAATACATAGAAAAAAAAATTTAAACTTGATTGCCTGCAACATCAATGAATCTCACCAATTCTTTGAGCAAAAGCCAAATACAAAAGATTTCATATTGAGACCACATACTATACAATTCTATATGAATGAATTAAATAATGGGAAAAACTTATCTATGATATGACATAAATCAAAATAGTGCTTATAGGTGAAGGCTATAGACTTCAAAGGTACAGGAGGGAACCTCATGGCCTTTGGAAATGTTTTCTGCTGATGTGGGTGATGACTACAAGGGTGTACTGTAGTCCCCCGTTATTTACAGTTTCACTTTCTGTGGTTCCAGTTACCTGCAGTCAACCATGATCTGAAAATATTAAGTGGAAAATTGCACAGACGAATAATTTGTAAATTTTAAATTGCACATTCTCAGTATCATGATTAAATCTCTTGTCCCTCTCTGTGACCCCCTGGGGCATGAATCATCCCTTTGTCCAGGGCATCCATGCTGTCTATGCTCCCCTCTCATGATCACTTAGTAGCTGATAGAGTTTGGCAATGTCCCCACCCAGATCTCATCTTGAATTGCAATGAGATTCAGGTGTCAAGAGTGGGACCCAATAGGACATGATCGGATCATGGGGGCAGTTTGTCCCATGCTGTTCTCATGATAGTGAGTTCTCACAGTATCTGATGGTTTTATAAGGCAGTTTTCCCAGCCGTTGCTAGCTCTCACTTTCCTGCCATCATGTGAAGGTCTTTGCCTCCCCTTGACCTTCTGCCATGAGGTTTCCTGAGGCCTCCCCAGCCATGCAGAACCCTGAGTCAAATGAACCTCTTTTCTTTGTAAATTACCCAGTCTTGGGCAGTTCTTTACAGCAGTGTAAAAATGGACTAATATAGTAGCCATCTTGGTTATCAGATCAACTGTCCCAATTTTGTAGTGGTTGGGTTCAAATAATTCTTTTTACTTAATAATAGCCCCAAAGTGCAAGAGTAATGATGCCAGCAATTTGGATATACTGAAGAGAAGCTGTGGAGCGCTTCATTCAAGTGAAAACGTGAAAGTTTTCAACTAAACAAGAAAAAAAATCATATGCTGATGTTGCTAATCTCTACAGTTAAGAACACATTCTCTATTCCTGAAACTGTAAAGAAGGAAAAAGAAATTCACACTAGTTTTGCTGTTGTTCCTCAAACTGCAAAACTTATGGTCAAAGCATGTGATAAGTGTTTAGTTAAGATGGAAAAGGCTCATATATGAACAGAAACATGTTTCAATTGAAAGCAATGGGTGCCGGGCGTGGTGGCTCACACCTGTAATCCCAGCACTTTGGGAGGTCGAGGCAGGTGGATCACAAGGTCAAGATATCGAGACCATCCTGGTCAACATGGTGAAACCCCGTCTCTACTAAAAATACAAAAAATTAGCTGGGCATGGTGGCACGTGCCTGTAATTCCAGCTACTCAGGAGGCTGAGGCAGGAGAATTGCCTGAACCCAGGAGGCGGAGGTTGCAGCAAGCCGAGATCACGCCATTGCACTCCAGCCTGGGTAACAAGAGCGAAACTCTGTCTCAAAAAAAAAAAAAAAGAAAGCAATGGGTGCCACACTATCCATGGTTTCAGGCATCCACTAGGGGTCTTGCAAGGTATCCCCCTTAGTTAAGGGGAGGGAGGGACTACTGTATACATACCTAAAAATCATTAAACTATAAATTTAAGATTAGGGTACTATATGCATTTTATGTGATTTCTCAATAAAACAAATAATAAAGGCAAAACTCACAAGGACAAATAGGGAGAATGAGAAATCAATAGTGCTTGGTACCAAAAAAGGAGGCAGACAAGTGAACACTCCCAAAATACACTTGAGAAAACAGAAGCCTTAAACAGTCAGTGGGAAAATCAGAGAAGCAGCTGCACTTACATCACATCAAAAACCTCCAAAGACGTAAGAATTGATGGAATTCAATCTCACTACGGAAAGGAAGTAGAGAGAGGGCTGAAAAAAGAGAACTGGCTGAGGCCGGGCATGGTGGCTCATGCCTGTAATCCAAGCATTTTGGAGGCAAAGGCGGGTGGATCACCTCAGGTCAGGAGTTCAAGACCAGCCTGACCAACATGGTGAAACCCCGTCTTTAAAAAAAAAAAAAAAAAAAAAAGAGGACTGGTTGTAGCACCGTCCGGTATTTCCTACACCAAGCACTCAGGTCACTGTTTCTCTATAGCCCGAAAGACTGAGTGCTCTGATCTAGAAGAGTGTAAAATAAAGTGTGGATAAGAAAATATCAGGCATGGGTCGGCCATGGTGTCTCATGCCTGTAATCCCAGCATTTGGGAGGCCGAGACAGGCAGATTACCTAAGGTCAAGGGTTCGATACCAGCCTAACCAACATGGAGAAACCCTGTCTCTACTAAAAATAAAAAATTAGCAGGGTGTGGTGGCGCACGCCTGTAATCTAGCTACTTGGGAGGCTGAGGCAGGAGAATTGCTTTGAACTCTGGAGGTGGAGGTTGTGGTGAGCCGAGATTATGCCATTGTACTCCAGCCTGGGCAACAAGAGCAAAACTCCGTCTCAAAAAAAAAAAAGAAACTATTAGGCATGATTAAGGGTAAAAACCAAAAGCAGGGGGATTAAATGAAATGAACATTGATTACTGAGATTATTGAGACCCTCAGCCTTCTTCCCCACAAATTGGTAATTAGAGTTCTGGCTGCCAAGTACCCCTTAAGAAAGGAGACTGGAAGTTATCTTCTTGAGGAATCTGATCACCACGAAGAGGAAAGACCCACAGATAGTGACAGTGAGAGTACCCTTAGGAAAACTGTCCAAGTAATTCACCATTGAGAAACCACAGTTGATAGGTTCCACCCCACAGAACCTCAGATCAGCTTTCTAGTGCTTCATCACACACATACACAAACACTGCCAAAGATCACAAAACATGAGGCAAACAGCCAGCATAAAAGATTAAAATAAGAGCAATGTAATTTGGTTGAAATGGACAATATGCAGGAAAAGTAAAACTTTTAGAAAAACCCTGTAATTTACATCAACATAAAAAAGAAGAAAATATTGCATCCTTAAAATAAAAGGTGTGGTGCATGAACACTGAAAAAAGGATATTCAAGGGACAAAAGGAACTCTGGGAAATTAAATATTTAAAAGCAAGAAGGAAAAATTCAAGAAGGATGAGGTCATACAATTACAGAAAATGCCCAGAAAGCAGGGCAAAAAGACAGAGATGAAAAATAGGAAAGAATAAGAAAATCAGGACCCAGTCTATAAGGCACATCATTTGAATAATAAAACTTCTAGGAATATGGGAGGCCGAGGCGGGTGGATCACCTAAGGTCAGGAGTTCCAGACCAGCCTGACCAAGATGGTAAAACCCCATCTCTACTAAAAATACAAAAATATTAGCCAGGTGTCCTGGCATGTGCCTGTAGTCCCAGCTATTCATGAGACTGAGACAGGAGAATTGCTTGAACCCAGGAGGCAAAGGTTGCAGTGAGCTAAGATCCCGCCACTGTACTCTAGCCTGGGTGACAAAGCAAGACTCCTTCAGATAAAAAAAAAAAAAAAAAAAGTCTAGAAATATAGAAATAGAGAACAGAGAAAAAATAAGGGATGAAAGACTTAGAGAAGTAATTCATAGAACTTTCTAGAATTGGAAAACAAATTTCCTGATTTAAAACAACCAACAGGTTAGGTGCAGTGGCTGACATCTATAATCCCAGTGCTTTAGGAGGCTGAAACAGGAGAATTGCTTGAATCCAGGAGTTGGAGATCAGCCTGGGCAATACAGTGAGACCATCTCTACAAAGAAAAAATTTAAAAATTAGCCAGATGTGCAGGCGTGTGCCTGTAGTCCCAGCTACTCAGGAAGTGAGGCAGGAGGATCACCTGAGTGCAGGAATTCAAGGCTGCAGTGAGCTATAATCACAACACTGCACTCCAGCCTGAGTTGAAAGAGCAAGACTCCATCTCTAAAAAGTAAATAAAAAGACCAATGGGCAAAAAATAAGAAAAAAAAATTCACACCAAGAAACATACCACAATATTCTAGAACGCTAGGCTCAAAAAGATCATCTTTAAAGTGCTTATACAAAAAAAATAAGAGTGCTAAGGAACTTCTTAAAGGCAACAACAGAAGAAGAAAATTATACATTCAATGCATAATTCTGAGTAAAAGTAACTTCTAAACCCAGACACGTTTTTGCTGGATGCCATGTCTGATGAAAGGAATCCCAAGACTGATGATGAGTTTCCAAGATAACAATTAGGCAAACACTCCAGGCTGGGGTAGGAGACAACAGAAAAGAGTTCTTTAAGAAAGTAAACTGATAGAATACCTAATGCGTCTGTAAGTTCTGAGAAAAGATCTACACAACCATGAGTATTCAGGGTTTCATTAGTAATAATTAAAAACTAAGGAAATAAAAATCAAGACAACTCTAGAGAAAATGATATTGAGCAAGAAATAAAAAGTACTCATAATGTACTAAATGTTTCAGTTTTGATTGGTGTCATAATAAACACAATGAATCTCGATATTAACAAAAATACGATACAAACATATTGAAAAGATGAAAGATGGGATGGATAAAAAGTTTATGTGCATGTGACAAAGGATGAAAGAGATAAAACTTCACTTTTCCCACTGAGAAGTTAATGGACAATGCCTAAAACTGAAAAAAGTACCAATATATTTGCACTGTTTAGAGGTACAAAAAGACCAAAAGAATTGGGTAATAAAAGTGATACAAGCTTACTTTGGGAGGAAGGGGTAAGATTTGTGTGGTGAGACCTCTGATTTTCACTGCATGTCTTGTATAAATATTTAATTCTTAAATCTATGTATATGATAAAAAACTTAATTACTATTATATTTAAAAAGTAAATGGAAGCTTTAGAGCAACTATGTCGAACAGAACTATAATGCAAGCCACACAAGTAATTTTTAATTTTTAATAACCTTTAAAAAGGTAAAAAAGAAACAGGTGAAATTAATTTCAATATAGTATCTTATCCAAATATATCAAAAATATTATTTCAATATGCAGCTGATATAAAAACTTTCAGTGAAATATTTATTTTGGTATGAAGTCTTCAAAACTCAATATGTTTTACACTGAAAAGATATTTCACTTCCAACTGACCCCACTGCAAGTGCTCAACATCCACATGTATCTAGTGGCTACTCTTATTAGACATGGCAATTCTTTTCCTGTGATCTCGTGAAAACTTGTGATAGGAGAATTACATTTATATGAGACTATTTTAGCAGCAATCCACACTATGAAGCATCATAGAAGCTGTGTTCTGGCTTCCATTTGATAATAATATAGCAATACTTTCCAGCCTGAAAAATAAACCACTAGTCGGCCTTATCGTGCAACAACTTCATGGTAGTCAACAGAACATATTCAGTACCCAATTAGAAAATACCATATACAATTGACCATACATAAACCCACCTTTTTGCTCTGCCCCACCACCCCTATCAAAATTAACAATCTCTTTTCCTGGAATGCTATCCTGTTGTGTCATAAGACTGCCACATTTTTCCAAAGAAACCACAGGACAGGTATTTTGTATTCCATCTTCCTCAGGATACAAGGAGACTCAGAGTAAGACAGCAAAGGTTAAATAGGCTTCTGAGAGTTGACTGGGAACTTCACCAGCCATCATTAAGTTTGTCCAAGTGACTTGAACAGGATCTTGAACAACACTGTGACTTGGCACCCACTTTTGTGCAAAATACTATAAGACACCACTATCCCCACACACCATTTAGAGCACTTAACATATGCTGGACAGTACGCTAGGTGTTTATCTCAATCCTTAAAAACAATTCTTGAAGCAGTATTACCATTAGTACTACTTTGCAGAGAAGAAAATTGAGGTTTGAAAGCATTAATTGCCATAGATCACCCGTTTTTTTGAAAGACCCTGGAGTTAAGAATTACTTTTACATTTTTTAAAGGTTATAAAAACAAAGAATAATGTGCAACAGAGATCATATATGGCCCCCAAAAGCCTAAAATATTTACTATCTGGCACTTAAAAAAAGAAGTTTACTGACTCTGCACTAGATTATGGAATTAAATAGTCTGATTCCAAAACAAATTCTCTAAATCAGGGTTTCTCAATCTTGGCATGGCTGACATTTTGGGTTGGATAATTAATTCTTTGTCAGTGGCATCCCTGAGCTCTGTCCACCGGATGCCCATAGCAGCACCCCTCCCCAACCCCAGCTGTGACAACCAAAAATGTCTCCAGACATTGCCAATATGGAAAAGCCTCCCTACCAACACAAAATAAGTCAAAGGGCTCAAAGACCCTCCTTTAATTTAGGCACAACTCCCACTATCTATTCCATGAAGACACAGATTTCCAGTAAACTTCTACTCTTAATTATTATTCATTAAAATTTATCAGGTATTTATGCTATTCTGATCAACTGTTACTATTTATATTAATTCAATCCAGAAGAAAATTACAACTTATAGAATTACAGGAAAATTTTTAAACTTAGTTCAATTTATAAAAGTTCAAATTACAAAGACATGTATGACAGAAATTAATAAAAAGCTTTCAAGCATAAAAATACATTACCTTAAGATAATATTCTGTGGAATGGGGGTGATAAAAAAGCAAAAACGAAGTAGTAAAATATAATATATTTTAAAAATGGATGGTGATATATCTAAAACTACAAGGATATGATACTCCACTGAATACAGGTAAAAGAATGATGTACCAATATTATATTAAAATGTCAGTATCAATACCATGTGGGAAATTGCATCCGTTTCAACTAAAGCCTGATGTAAAATGCTGTAAGTTAACCAAAAGTGTGCAAGAGGGACAGTTTTACAAAAATTATTTGGGGGTTCACAAGCAAATTAAAAGTACTGCTTTAAAAACCACTCACACTATAATACATGGCAAAGATATAATGGACATGGTCTGTCTCTGGCTCTTAGAAGCACCAAAATTTACTATCTTTTGTTAAGCTCTCTCTACGTGTGTCTGGAACCCTTCTAAAGTTATCAAATCTTCACTCTTGGAGGCTGATATTTGATTTTTAAAATGTTTTATAAATATGAGCAGTTTGCCTAAGACAAAGCTAGTAAATAATAAATCAGTTCATGGATCAGAAAATTATTTGTCAAGAAAATTAAATGAGCTCTCGCCTGTAATCCCAGTTACTGCAGAGGCTGAGGCCAGAGGATAGCGTGGGCCCAGAAGTTCAAGGTTGCAGTGAGCTATGATTGTACTACTGCACTCCAGCCAGCCTGGGTGACAGAGCAAGACCTTGTCTCTTAAAAAAAAAAAAAAAAAAAGAAAGAAAGAAAAGAAAAATGAAAATTAGATAAGCTGTATTTGATTCCAAAGCTAAAACTCCTACTATGTTTACAAGTCAGCAGAGTGAGGGAGGGTGAAAGAAAACCCAGAGTGACCCATGGTAGACAGTCATGTGGCTTAAGTCTTCAATAGGTAGCATTTGAAAGTAGAAGCAAGACATAATGAATGAATACAGCTAGAAGCAATATTTACCTTGGGTATACCTTTATTTCTAAGCTTATTTTACAGTGTGATGAAAGATTTCTTAAACAATGTGTGAATGGAGGAAACAAGATGGCTCCTGAGAAAGAAGAGTTTGCCTGTGTGTAGGGTGGAGTGGGAGGGCTAATTCCACAGGGTTGCTTAATAACCTTCCTTGCTTCATCTCCATCCTGAAGAGAGAAAAAGGTTACACAGGGAGAAGAGCCTGGATATCTAGAGGTTACATACAAGTCTAATGGTCAATTTTAGTCTAATATCTGGGGAATTTCAACACAGAAAGAAAACGGTTTATATTAAAATAACACATTTTTATTTTGTGACTGGGATTTGCTACTTCCTCACCAGTCTCACAAAATACATTTTACAAAAATAAGGATTGTAGGATGGTGACTTTAAAAAAAAAAAAAAACAACTCTATTCTATTCCTAAGCACAATTAAGCGTTGAGTGTCCAGAAAAGATAAAAACTATTATTACATGATTTCAACGAGAAGAGAAAGTCTTTGAAACGACAATCTGAAGTATTAAACAGTACCTACAACAGTGTTAACAGTCTTCGAGAACAAACCAAACTCTGTTCCTGGATACCAGTAGTTCACCTAAATTCTAATTTTTTTAACGTTCTAATAAAAGAAACAAAACACATTTATTTCAACATAACTAAATGTATGTGTGTGTCTTAAAAAAAATACACAAGGGCAAAGGTAAAATTCTAAATCAAAATACCTCGCAATTTAGTTCGACTCCATAAACACTGAAAGTAGTAACACCCTCACTTCACTCTCACTTAACAGTCAACATTACAAGTAGTTTTTAATAATGACGCATTTATCTCCCTAGAGATAGCTGAAGTTTACCTAACGCCTATTTGGCCCTTTACCAAAAAAGCTGAGGGGGCTTTGTCTATGGCCTGCATGCACTCTCTCCGTGGCATCCCACTCATTCTAGCCTGTTAGGGAAACCATACACAACCACGTTTCAGAGAGTGCCACAGGTGAAGCTGACCCGAAACCACATTACAGAAAGGCTTCCCGTTTCAAACAGGTCCAACAAACCCACCAAATGAAGTCCACGATGATAAAGAACCACGAATCAGAAAACAGTTCCATATGTCATTGGGTACAATATTCTAATACTTTTTCCCCGCACTTTCGGAAATTTCAAAGAAAAACTGCTACATTCTTCCACATCTGAGGCCATTATTTCAAACGCCGTTAACAACCTGGAACGCAAAGTCGTTACAGGATCATACAATAAAGCCAATCTCGAGGATCCTCCGTGGATTACTAGAGTACTTCTTTACAGTTAGCGAAAAACTGGGTCAGCCCTACAGTCACGCAATAATGTGCCGCGTCACGAACCTGCGCATTCCAAGGGAAACTTTTCTCAGGCCCACGGTCAAGTCCGAGGGATCCTCCGCGCAGCTCAATCCCTGGGAAGCACGCAGGGATGTTCTGTAAAGAGACAAATCACGCGCAGCCCATCCCAATACAACCTCAGTTGTTCCCGGGCCTCCTGGCAGAGCAAGGCTGCCGAGCCTGGACACTGCAGCGGGCGCTGCGGGGAGGGCGAAAGAACTGGGAGATCTGCGAACCCAAAGTAAACAACGCGGGTGGGGCCGGGAGAAGGATGAACAGCGATGCTCCGAAAAGGACCCCGCGACGCGAAGCGGGCGGGAAGGGCCCCCTCCAACTACAAAGTCCAAGGAGGAGAGGCCGAAGGTTCCCTAAGCACGACACCGGGGCGGGGGAGGGGACGCAGAACAACTTCTCAAACTATTCTCTCACGAAATCGCTCCCTTCCTGAGACCTGGATGAGGCCCCGGCCGCCTCCGCCCTCGTCCCGCGACCCTCGCCGGCTCTGCCTCCCCGCGGGGTCCGCGGGCCCCCGGGGCGCTCACGCCGCCCACCCAGGGGACCGCGCAGGGGTGAACTCCCCGCCGCCCCACCCGCGCCTTCCAGACCTCGGGCGCCCCGGCGTCGCCTCGAGAGCTCCCCGCGAGGCGGCCCGGGCCAGCTCCAGCTCCCCGACACGCGTAGCCGCTGGGCTGGCCGCGGGTCGGTCCCGAGGTTTCCAAGGCCTCGCGCGCGCGCTCTCCGGGACCACCGAGACGTTCCAGGCCGCGCGCTCTCGAGCGCTCCCCGTCACGCGACTGAGCCGCCCCGCCCGTCGGCCTCGCTCCCGCCACGGGGCCCGGAGCGCGCCGCCGCCGCAGCCTCGGTCACGCCGCCCGTGGTCACGCGCGCGTCTTAACCTCAGACTGGCTTCTGCCCACTCTGACCTTCTAAATGGTACGTGGGAGGACGTCCGTCCTCTTGGAACAGTCACCGTAACACTCTAGAGAGGGAGAAAACAAGCGTGGGCGGCAGGCGAGAGAGAAACTCGCGAGCCAGCGGCTCCGCGCGACCCCCAGGCACGGTCCCCTGCGGCCACGTCGGTCGTTCTGCGCCTGCGCAATCTCTTTCTCCCCTGCGTAACGGAGGCCTCGGGAGAGACTAGAAGCGAGTGTGGGCAGTGAGCGCTTGTAGCCGCAAGAGGGAGCGCTGGGCACAGTGCACGAGGGACAACAAAGGCTGACTGTCCCCTCAATGTCTCTGCAGCCTGAGCTTTGGGACTTCTGTATCCAGAGCATAATTTCCAAAAGCCCGCCTGCACCACATGTTTTAAGTCTCGGAGTGTATGTGCGCTAAAAGTCTATCACTATCATAAAAATGTTAATTCCTCACTCCACGATACAAAAGTAATTGTGCCAATACTATTTAGGATTATGGAAGGCTAAAAGAGAAAAATCAAGATGAACATACTTAACCTCTCTTGACAAATGTTTTTAAATTAGTAAAATATTGTAGATGAGAGACTTTTAACTCCTCAATAGGCCTGCCTTAGGGGAAAAAAAGAAAAGAAAAAAAAGTGTGTACTTGCCCTGAGCATTTAGGACCAGTTTTGTTGTTGTTGTTTTGTTTTGTGACAGAGTCTTACCTATTGCCCACGCTGCAGTGCAGTGGCATGATCTCGGCTCACTGCAACCTCTGCCTTCCAGGTTCAAGCGATTCTCATGCCTCAGCTTCCAGAGAAACTGGAATTATAGGCGTGCACCACCACTCCCATCTAATTTTTGTATTTTTAGTAGAGTCGGGGTTTCCCCATGTTGGCCAGGCTGGTCTCCAAGGCTTGACCTCTAGTTGTCCAGGCTGGTCTCGAACTTCTGAGCTCAAGTGATCCGCCTGCCTTGGTTTCACAAAGTGCCAGGATTACAGGCATGAGCCACCCAGCTTGACAGTAAGACCACTTAAGTGACTTTCCTAAGGATTTCAGTGACTTATTCGCGATGAATTAATCAGATTAATTCAATCAAGATTAATTAGTGATAGGGACTATTGGACGGGAAGAGGGTTTTAAATTTTAAACTGGGAGTCATTTGATACTTCCCTCAAATCTCAAAAAAGCAGCAAGTCATCCCAAAAGACAAAACCTTTATTAATATATTAATTTATTAATACAGTGGTTTCAAAATGATTTTGCTTTTATACCACCAAAGGAATCCCAAAAGACTGTGACTGTGTTCTTTCTTCCACGTTTTTGGGTTGACCGTCAAAATTTCTCATCTGACTTAATTAGTTGCAAAAGAGGCAACTTCTGTTTTATTGTAAATTAACGTTTTAAAATAAAAGTTATATAACTTTTAAATGTAGCCAGTAGAATCTAAATACCAATTTAATATATAAGGTCATCAATTTTTAGAACTACGTGAACAAGCTTTTAACAGAAGGAAATTTTACATCATGTCTTCTTGAACTCATATTTTCATTCCATATTGTGAAATTGTATCCCAATGTCATATTTCTTTAGTCTTGCAAATATTGGCCAGGCTTGGTGGCTTGTGCCTGTAGTCCCAGCTACTCCCAAGGCTGAGGTAGGAGGATTCCTCGAGCCTAGGAGTTTGAGACCAACCTGGGCAACATGACTAAAAAAAAAAAAAATTTAGCCCAGCATGGTGGTGTACACCTGTAGTCCCATTATTCCAGAGTTGGAGGTGGGAAGATCACCTGAGCTGGGGACAGTGACTGAGATTTTACCACTGAACCCCTTTTTGGGCAACAGAGCCAGACCCTGTCCCTCCCCACCCCCACCAAAAAAAAAAGAAAATCTTTTATTAGTCATCTACTCTACTTCTTTACATTTAAAAAGTATATACATTTAAATACAATTTTAAAAATTTCCAACAGCCATAAAGATGAATGTATTTAAAACTTGTAGACTTTCTATACAAAAAATTGTTATGTATAGAAAACCCTGAAGAGTTTACTACGATACTGTTAGAACTAATACATGAGTTCATCAAGAATTCAGGACAACAGATCTACATACAGAAATCAATAATATTTCTATGTACTAGCAATGAACATTTCAAAAATGAAATTAATTCCATTCATAATATCAAGAAGAATAAAATACTTAGAAATAAATTTAATAAGTGCAAGACTTATATGCTGAAGATGATACAACATTGTTGAAAGAACTTAAAGACCTAAATAAATGGAAAGACAAACCATGTTAAAGGGTTGAAACACTTAATATTGTGAAGATGGCAGCACTCCTTGAATGGACCTACAGATGCAAAACAATCCGGTCAAAAATGCAAATGACTTTTTTCCAGAACTTGGCAAGCCAATCCTAAAATTCATACAATCCAGGGAAATATAAGTGCCCAGAATAACCACACGCACACGCACACAAGTCTTGAAAAAGAAGAGTAAAGTTGGAGGACTGACACATTCCACTTTCAAAACTTATTACAAAGCTGCGGTAATCAAGTCAATGTGGTTGATTTTTGTTTTCTGAGATATATTTATGTTCACAGTAGCTTCCATGTATGGTTAAGTTACTGCTGGCCATAGTGGTCTACTGCTGACTTCTAGGAATATTCATACTACTGACTGCAGAATTGCCTGGTACCCTAATAGAAAGACACTGGCCAGGCATCGTATTGCTTTCTGTTTGTGTCCTGCAGTGCCCAGTACCACTAGGATGTGGGAGGGGAAGAAACAAGGTGTAAAGTGGATGGGGCTGGAAGCTAATCTGTGGAAAAGTACAAGCAAATGATTTGGTTTGCTCATCAGTACCTGGGCAAAACCTATATTAGTGGTCCTTCCAAATTTGGTAACAATTGTGAAAATTTGCGATACTCTTTTTTTTTTTTGAGACGGAGTTTCGCTCTTGTTAGCCAGGCTGGAGTGCAATGGCACGATCTCGGCTCACTGCAACCTTCCGCCTCCTGGGTTCAGGCAATTCTCCTGCCTCAGCCTCCTGAGTAGCTGGGATTACAGGCACGTGCCACCATGCCCAGCTAATTTTTTGTATTTTTAGTAGAGACGGGGTTTCACCATGTTGACCAGGTTGGTCTCGATTTCTTGACCTTGTGATCCACCCGCCTCAGACTCCCAAAGTGCTGGGATTACAGGCGCGATACTCTTAATACTGAATTATGAAGCTGAACTAAGTTTTCCTAAATTATATTAAAAAGCTAATCTTGATAAACCATGCTAGAGGAAAAACTGTATTATCTATTCTATCTGTGGAATATATTGCAAAATCATTTTTATATGAAGAAGCAATCAGAGCATAGAGCCAAGAAAGGTAGGGAAAGGTATAATGGGATGTGCTGAGCACCTGAATAATAAAATGATGTTATTTTTCTGGATTTTGTGGTATCTGTAGTAGTCGTCGGCTTTTTAAAACTCATAATTTTTAAATTCACTTTTTAATTCATTTCCTACAGAAGGCCATCCAAACTGTAAAAGCTGCAACCATCGCAAAACTTGGATCTGCTTAGGCCCAAGGGGTACTTGAGATCAGCAGAAAATAATTGCTTATATTTGGAAACATGTAAAAAAACATTTTTAACATTTAGTATATCTTACTGAGGTAAAACAAGGCTTGAATTATCAAATCAGACTGACAAGAATCAGAGGTTTTACCCCGTCACAAGAAAATAATGGCAGTATCCAAAACCACTAACCCGGCTCCTCACGTCTTCCCCAAATTTGTCAGAACACACTCTGGCTTAGCTGTAGCAGGTGAGGTCTCTGAGTAAGCTACTGCCAGTGATCACTTAAAAAGATGGAGCTCTTTCAGTCAGGAACTGTCTGTATTTTGTACTGAAATAATTGTATGGTAGACACTGACAGTTCCCACTGGGCCATTCCATGTGTTAATATATCCATCAATTCCACGTTTATTTACCTTATGCCATCGAGACAGACCAGGTATACCCTACTAAAAAGCATTTCATAGACAAGGACTCCCCATTCTCTTTTTACCAGGATATACCTTGCTTGTTTACAAGGAGATTTGACTTGGTCATTTCCACCTGGCCATCTCAGGCTAGGAATAATTAGCTATAGACCAGCCTTTATCACTTAACTTCTAACTTATCTCCCCTGTCTTTTTTCTCACCACGTTCTTCAAAATAATAATAATAATTCTCTAAAAATAGTGAATAACTGTGGCTGAGATTTTTAAAGGAAAATTACCATCATACCATTATAGAAGAGAACAATATTTTGAAATTTTGGCACTCTTGGGGCTTTTACCCCTGGGCAGTGCACCAGAGTAAGATTTAGGAAGCTGAGGGCTGTGTATTTCTTGTGCAGAGTGGGAGAAGTTTTAATGTGAAAGGAGGAGTAGGAAAAGACATACTAAGAAATAGCACATAAGAAACTAAGATCTGGATATTGATTATCTTATATCACTGTAAATTTTCTGCATACCTCCAGTGGTATGCATACCGCCGTCAGATATTTTTATATCACATACTTGTAGTGGAGGGTCTGGGACCACTAGTTCTAAAATTCAAGAGCCTGAGTTTGAATCCATCTTTATTTACAGTTGTTGCCACTTAACCCCTCTGATCCTATTTTCTCATCTGTGATATGGGGATGTGATAATAGAATCTGCCTCACAGGGCGGTTACCTAAATTAATGGAAGTAACTCATTTAAAGTTGGCACTCAAGCCAGGTGCAGCAGCTCACGCCTGTAATCCCAGCACTTTGGGAGGCTGAGGCAGGAGGATCACTTGAAATCAGGAGTTCAAGACCAGCCTGGGCAACAAAGCAAGACCTCATCTCTAATTTTGAGGAAAAAAAAAAAAAAGTTTGGACTCAATAAATATTGGTAGTAATATATGAATTTCTTCTCTTCTTGCTGATTTTCTTTAATGATTAGCAAAGAGCAATTTGGTTCTAAGCAAATCTGAATTTTTTTT